ATTGAATTGTATAATTTTTAACTGTGCAAAACGTGTTTGTGTACTGTGGTGGGAAGACACAGTGAGTGCAGCTGTTTGTTTTGATTAATTAATTGAATTATATGATTTTTGTATACTAGAAACACTTAGCGCAGGATATTAGTTCTATTCATTCCCTTTAATCAGAAGATAATCATCCTCACATCTATAGGTGGCCCAGCAGACGCAAAAAACAGTAGATTGACAGGTAGGTGTTAAGAATAAGAAATATTCTGCAAACAAGATTAAATAAATTCAATGCATTTTTGATGGCACTTACCATATCTGCAAAATTCACAACAGACTTTGCATAATTGTTTGTCTGGCCAACAGATAAACGGTGCTTTTTGTACTGCAAGAAGAGTAAATGATAGCTGAAATATGTCGATAGATAGATAGACAGACAGATAATAAATAGGTATGGAGGATTTTCAAACATGTATATAGGATGATTGATGGATAGATAGATAGATAGATAGATAGATAGATAGATAGATAGATAGATAGATAGATAGATAGATAGATAGATAGATAGATAGATAGAGATGTTCCCTCCAGCACCACTCTGTCTTGCAGCCTTTTTCCAGCCTCCCTGCTTGAGGAAGGCAGGCGCAGGCGGCTCTGGGGTCTACTGGACACCTCACAGTGCAATCCTCAGAATTGCTGCAGTCTCCCCCTGATACCCAGAAGAGATTTCCGGGTATCAGTGTGCTGGCTCCATATAGTGCTCTGTAACTACGTGGAGCAGGCACCGGCATGCGCTGTCACTATGTGAAGAGAGAGCTGCAGAAAGGTAGGGGGAGGATTTTTTTTTTTTTTTTTTTACAGACAGTCCCACTAGACCTGAAGGCTATAAAAGATACACCTTCCCTACTAGGCCACAAGTGAATTTTCCTAGGGGGCCCCAATAATTCTTATGGTGGCCCCAGTTACAGCTATTGATTACCAATGCTGGGGAGAGTCATGCCTATAACACACAATGAGAAAATCGAGCAAAAAGTACTGCTTTCAGTACGATCGCACAATTATCTGATCGTTCGTACACAGCTTTAAAGAGCCAATCACGACAGTTCATGCAAAATTATCTGAAGGGACAAGCACAAAACTTTTCTCGGAAGATATCAAAATTTTAATTTAATTAGTACAGTATTTTTCCGTACAAAATCAAGTCAATCTCTTAGATTGTAAGCTCCAAGGAGCAGCACCCTCATAACCCTCTTGTATTGACCTGTATTGTTGCTGTATTGTCTCCCTTTATATTGTAAAGCACTGAGCAAACTGTTGGTACTATATAAATCCTGTATAATAATAATAAGTGACCAAGACCACGCATGGAAACAAAAGAATACATTATATCATCGTGGGAAGCTGTATTTTGTCTTATGAGAATTTTTGTGACTCTAGTAACCTATTTGTTTTTGATATGAGACTAGCATGCAAAAAAAACCCAAAACTGGTGATCATTTGTTCGATATTCTCATCAAGGCTTGATTGTTTCAGCTTGGCACTGTCCACCAATGATGGGGAGGGGGTTACAGCAAGCCTTCTTATGACATTCTTCTATAAGGTAGGCTGAATGTAGCATATGTAATAGAAAAGTTTCTTTTTTTTGTGAGTGTTGCATGTGTCTGTTAGATTCTTGCTTGTGCCACAGCAATGAAAGCATATTGTGTGGGTACAAAGCCTGTGGCATATGAGTGCCACGTAAAAAGTGAGTAGCCCTCCCAGCTTCAGAGCAATTTGGCCATACACACCATTCAAAACTTCATAGCTTTACTACTCCCCTTCATTGCCCAGGGATGTAATGGTGAGTACCTGCACCTATTCTCTGATAAAAAAAAAGCCTTGGATCAATATATAGTAAATAGATATATAGGTATAAAGGACAATAAATAGATATATACATGAATAGATCGAGAGATGTACTATACCACCAATGGAAAACAAGATAGACACACAATAAATAGATAGATAGATAGATAGATAGATAGATAGATAGATAGATAGATAGATTTATTTGAATTTAATTATTGTCCATATATTCTTTATTAATAACTAAATACATCATACCATCAGGTGATCATTAACAATCATCAGCTCGACATATTTTGTCTCATCCATGACACTGCCAGATAACTGCTGAGTCTGAAAGTAAACATGATTGGTGACAATGGAGTCAAAAATATATGTAGTTCTCCAGTAAAGGTTCCACAATGAAGCATGCAAAGGGCTGTTTGCCATAACAGAAATATATATCTGTTTTTATGAGGATCAGAGAGTGCAAAAGTAAACACTGGTAAAGCCTGGCCACATGTATATCATGACTGTAGGTCTTAAAAAAGCAATCAGACCACCTCAAGACCTAGTAGCAGATGGTGATTACCTAAACCCAGCTGGCCATACATTATACAATGTTCTTGTACAACTTTCCTTTAGGTTTACCAAAACCATATAATTTGAGGTCGAACCTAAACACTTTCAATTTCAATATGCAATCAGGCAGGCCCTTGCAGTATATAGTTGAAGGTAAATCTAAAGAAAATTGAACAAGAAAATTGTTTATCCAATGAGAAGAGGAGATAGAAAATGGTAGACAGTGCCCAAGATTGGTTATCTATATTGTGCAAACCTGTCCATTCAATCTTTCCATCAAGAGTGGCCACTTAGTGGGTATATGCTAATGGACTAGACAAGACCCCAATGTCATCTGAAAACAGCCAGATTGGGTGAAGTCATCTCATGTCTTTGGACATATTACTACAGAAAGAGGCTTAAACATACTCTGACCAGTGGCGGAACTACCAGGGTCACAAAGGTTGCACTTGCGACTGGGCCCTGCTGTTCTGTCACTGTGGGAGGGGGCCTCAAGACAGCCAAATGGTGCCTGGGTTCTGGTAGACTTGGGGGCTGGGGTGGGCGCAGTGACATCTGTACAAAGGAGGTGGGTAAGTCAGCAGGAGCCATACTCCGAACACCAGCCTGAACAGGACATCTCTCCCTCAGCTCTCCATCACCAAGAGCTTGCCCCCCTGCCAAGCTGATGTCTCCATTGCCAGTTCCATTTTGTTGAAGTCTGCCCATATACACATATTTATTTGTACTAGAGATGACAAACTACACTGAATGGGTGATATGAAGAGGGGGGAGTGGGAACACCAAGAGGAGAAGAAAAGAGGATGATGACTGAGCCTGCCCTGCACCCGAGCAATGGAGAAGGTGACGTCAGTGTGACAGCTCCAACCAGGCCAATAGAGTCTAAGAGCCACTGTGGTCACCAGAGTCTCCCCTCCACATCATCCTCACATTATTACATCAAAGTCTACAGGATTCCCCCTTACAGTCTAAAGGAGAACTCTGCGGACCCTGATGTAAATGGGAACTCTGATGTAAAGGGGAACAGTGTGGACTCTGATATAGGGGGGGGGGGGGGGCTATGGTGACCATAGTCCACCTTATATCAGAGTTTCTATTTACATCAGGGTCCGCAGAGTTTTCCTTTACACTCTAAAAGAGGATTTAAAGAGGAACTCTGTAGACTCTGTGATGTAAGGGGGAATGCTGCAGACCCTGGTGTAAAAGGAAACACTGACGTAAGGTGGACTCTGGTCACCAAAGCCCCCCCTTACATCAGAATCTACAGTGTTCCCCTATACATCATGGTTCACAGCATTCCCTTTTATATCAGAGTTCCCCTTTACACCAGGGTCCACAGCATTCCTGCTTACATCAGAGTTCCCCTTTACATTAGGATCCGCAGAGTTCTCCCTTACACTGTAAGGAGGAACTCTGTGGTCTCCGATTAAAAGGGGAACTCTGTGGACTCTGATGTAAGGGGAAATGCTGCAGACTAGTGTAAAGGGGAACGATGATGTAAGGTGGACTCTGGTCACCAGAGTGCCCCCCTTACATCAGATATAGTCAAGCTCTCTCAATAAGAACTTTTAACAGCCCGTTAGTTGGATTAACCTCTGCTACGCTGGAAGATTGCGGTGGTAGGGGGCAGGACAGTGGAAGATTTTCACTAATAGAAGAGGAATAAGCACAAGGGACACATCTTACTGACTGTAAATTATGGCCCTTGTACTGACTTTTGTCTGTGATTTTGGCTGCACTTAGGATTAAATGTATGTCTTAATGCAGCTAATGTAAGCACTTAAATTTGACTTGGCATTAGCCTCTAGTAATACACTACTGCCGGCTGAGACGGGAAGAGGGGGGGGGGGGCACACTGAGAGCCAAATTGTTGAGCTGCATTGGAATGTACTGATAAGGAGAAAGCTGACAGTAGGTGAGAGTCGAGTGAGCAGAAAGACAATCTCATCAGTCTACTGCAGATCCTTCACTGCCCACTCATAAGGTTGGGGGTGCAGAAAGGACACCGCTGTTTAACTGTAAGGGCCCGTTCACACCAGAAGGCGGTGTGGAAGCCTGCATTTCGGTGCGGTGTTCCGCACTGCATTCCAGTCACACTACACCCCAAACGCAGGTTGTAAACGCAGTGCGTCTGTCCACAGATATACCATGCAATCCAGTTGCAGTGCATTTCAAAAAGTAGTACATGCACTACTTTTGGTGCGATGCGACTCTAGCCCATTCAAAATAAAACTGCACTGCACAGAACTGCATGTGAATCGCACAAGAACCGTGCAGCATTCCTGTGTGATTCACAAGCAGTTCCTAGTATGCCTGGGCCCCTAACAGTGAATGCCGTGTCATTCACTTGGCTAGTCTTTGTGATGGGACTGTGTAAATCCCAGGGACGGGATGGACAGAAATAAAAAATCCTTAAGCAGGTCAACCTGTTCCCATGTATGTATTCAATCTGTCCATTTAGATGTTTTTTGGCGTCCAGCTTTCACTATATATCCCCTCATAGAAGATATGGCAATATTTTATATTTAAATGGAAATTTAACACTAATTCCGCTCTGTAAGCCCCGCAGAAAATGCTGTACTCACATGTCTCTTCTTCCTGCGAGATCTTCTTGTCTGTGGAAGCTTTACAATTGTCTCATTCAAAGACCAGAATTCTAAAAAGGAAAAAAAGCTTTTCATAGTCGTGATAGAAAACCTCACTGCATCCTCTGCCAGAACTATGCACCGCTCAGCATTCTATACTTTATTGCAAGTTTTTGGAAGTTCTGTTACATGGTCAGAAGCAGGGGTGGACTGACAACTCATGGGGCCCCCGGGCAATAGGGGATCATGGGGCCCCTGTGTCCTTGCCCAAACTCAAAAAAGCCCATGAAAAAGGTACCAGGGGCATCTCATGGGGCCCCCTACTGATCCCAGCCCTCGGGCAGTGCTGAGTTTCCAAATGGTCAGTCCGCCCCTGGTCAGAAGACACATGATGACATAAGATGATGCTTCTACTTAACTACTGTCGCACTGCAAGAGTTAAATGCTTGTTTATATCTAGGGGACTGGGAAAAGCAGTGTTACTTTTCAGATCCTCAACTCCTGCAGGCTCCTCTGCACTGCAAGGCTGGTCCCCGCAGCTTCTTCTGCCCTGCACTCTGGTGGTCAAATGTCCCGTGACAACATAAAGACTGATGCCGGGCCAATAGCCTTGCATTGGAATTGAGGATGCTGAGGAACAGTCCACTGGCGGAGAGTAGGGAGCACCATCTGCCAGAGGAGCAGAGGATCAGGTAAGTAAACCTGCTTTTCCCACCCGCTATGCATAAACAAGGGTTTTAAAGCCAACAAAATAATTTATCGTGTCTCTACACAATACAATCTCCTCAGATTTGTGAAGGAATTACATTAACAATCTATTGGATCTGTATCCAGCCAGGCAGGCCATTGCTCTGCATGATTGTTGGTAAACGCAAGGAAGATTGTTCATTCACACTGTTTGGTCATCTTTATGATGTGCGCATATGGACATTTTTTTTTCTTTTCAAGCACAATGAAAATGCAAGATAAAGCAAAACTAAACCCATCTATTTAAAATGATATTAAAGCAAAAAAATGTTTTTTATTCTTAATGCATTCCATGCATTATGGCAACAAACATTTTGTATTTCTGTGTCCTCCTCCTTCCCTGTGTAAAGGAGATGAGAGGGGAGAATAGATCCAGCACTGTGCATCTATTTATTTCAGGTACTTATATAGCGCTGTCAGTTTACGCAGCACTTTACATATATATTGTACATTCACATCAGTCCCTAACCCTCAAGGGGCGTACAATCTAAGGTCCCTAACTCACATTCATACATACACATACTAGGGCCAGATTAGACAGGAGCTAATACACCTACCAGCATGTCTTTGGAGTGTGGGAGGAAACCCACGCAGGCACAGGGAGAACATGCAAACTCCAGGCAGAAGGTGCCGTGGCTGGGATTTGAACCAACAGTCCTAGTACTGCCAGGTGAAAGTGCTAACCATTTAGCCATGCCTGCATCTCTTCTCCTCTCTCTTCCTCTTCACACAGGACTCGAGCAGCCATTGGCTCCTGCTACTGTCAATCAAATTCAGTGTGGAGGAAGTAGGAGGTGGGGCTAAGTCCCGCTGTGTGTGCCTATGTAGCACAGCTCCAGAGACACACAGCTTGAGTATGCCCCCATAGCAGTCATTTGCTATGGGGACACACAAAGAAGAGGAGGAGCCAAGATCGCCGGTAAGAACCAGAGAAGAAGAGGATCTGGGCTGCTCTGTGCAACACCACTGCACAGAGCAGGTGAGTATAACATGTTATTACAATTAAAAAAAAAAAATCTGACTCTTGCAAGACTTTAACGGATTCCCAAAACAGTTACATTCAAGGCATGCCGTGAATGCTGACTGTAACAGTTGCTTGTGCTCTCAACCAAACTATCAAGTCATCGCATGGCTGGTGTCATAACTGAATAATATGCAAGACAACGAAGATCAAACAGAGGATAAGATGGCAGCTTCCTTGCCTGTAAAGAATTTATCATAAGTAATTTTCAATATTTTTAAAAACACAAGTAAAAGTGATAGTGTTTCTGCACAGAGAATTCCCTGACCCCCTTATACTCGCCCTACCTGTGATCCCTTGCAGCTCCCTCAGGTGAGTATAAGAGGTCAGAGAATGGTCTTTGCAGAGTCCCTGTCACAACAATGTCTCTTTAAATCTGAATCTTTAACTACAATTATGCCTGATAGCAGACATGTGCAAAATGAAAAAATTTGTTCCGTTTCGTTTCGTTATTTGACTAATTTCATGTCATTCGATTAGTTAAATTTGTTTAATTAATTTTTCGGAAATTTGTTTCGATTATTCGAATTCGACCGAATAGGAAAACAATTCGAAAGCATTCTAAAACAATTCGAACGGATTCAATAATAATTCTAATGTTACAATCCACAATCCGTATGTGTTTTTGATGGTATATGGGCTATATGAAGAATTGCATGACCAGATTGGAAATTTCAAAATTTTCAGTGTATTTGTTGATTACTACGCACGTCACCATAGCGCAGCTCACAATTTTTCATGAAGTATTTTAGTCTTTTCTAATCTATTCTATTCTTTTATATTCTATTCTAATATATGCTGTTCAAATTCATTCTGTTCAAAATTCGAATTTCGGAAGGCAGTTATATTCTTTCTGTTTTATTCTATTCTATTGTTTTTCTATACTATTCTATTCTATTCTTGGGATCTCTATTCTAATCTTTTCTATTCTATTCCTTTATTTTCTGTTCTATTTTGCTCTGTTTTACTCTATTAATTTTTATTCTATTCTTTGATTTTCTATTCTAATCTTTTCTATTCTATTCTAATTGAATCTATTATTTTCTATTTTATTCTTTGATTTTCTATTCTAATCTTTTCTATTCTATTCTAATGGATTCTATTCTTTTCTATTCCTTTATTTTCTATTCTATTTTGTTCTGTTTTACTCTATTATTTTCCACAGTATTCTGTTCTTTTCTTTTATTTTCTATTCTGTTCTTTTTTTTCCTCTATTCTTTTCTATTCTATTCATTTATTTTCCAACCTGTTCTATTCTTTTCTATTTCTTTATTTTCTGTTCTATTTTATTCTTTTTTTGTTTTCAAATTCAAATTGGTTTTCGAATTTGTTTTCAAATTCAAATTGGTTTTTTGAATTTGAATTGGTTTTAGAATGTGTTTTCGAATTCGAATCTATTAAAATTTCGGCTGAATTTCATTTCTTTATTTCAGATTTGTTTAAATTTACTATTGTAATTGGAATTCGGATACATCTAAATCTCCAAATAATGGAAAATATGTCCCAATTTCGATTCGGAACAAAATGAACTGCACATGTCTACCTGATAGGCCTGCAATAAAAGGCCTTGATCAGGCACTTCCTGTTATAGGGTGGGGTGACGATGCTTTGTCCTTGTCTCTCAGTTGCACTCCTGCACTGTTACCCTGTCAAATGGGCTTGCAGTAGAGACTACAAGTGGTGATTTCAACACATTACATTACATAGGCATACTCCATTGTTGTCACCTTCATGAAACCTGCCCTGGAAAATGCCAGGCAGCTACTGCAGGAATCAGGGGTGGACTGACAACTCATGGGGCCCCCCGGGCAATAGGGGATCATGGGGCCCCTCTGTCCTTGCCCAAACTCAAAAAAGCCTATGAAAAAGGTACCAGGGGCATCTCATGGGGCCCCCTACTGACCCCGGGCCCTTGGGCAGTGCCCGAGTTTCCAAATGGTCAGTCCGCCCCTGGCAGGAATACATGTAGACAGAAAGCAGCTGCAAAAAGACTGCAAGAAATCAGAAGCACTGAAAAGGAATAATGAATGAAAAAAGAGACACTTATTTTATTAATAAAAAACAGGACAACAGTTTATGATACATAGGGGTTGAATTACTAAAGGCAAAAATACTGTGCACTGCAAGTGCAGTGACTCTAGAGCTTAGTAAATGAGATGAAGCTTCACTTTGCAAAATATACCCAATTACATGCAAGAAAATAAAAAAATAGCATGTTTTCTTGCATATTATTATTATTATACAGTATTTATATAGCGCCAAAGGGTATGCTCAGCGCTGTACAGTAGCAGGGGGACAGAACATGAGACAAGACAGTAACAATACAATACACGAGGGGTTTGAGGGCCCTGCTCTTTCAAGCTTACAATCTAGGAGGGAGGGGGAGGTGGTACAGGAGGAGATGGCTGTGGGGGATGGAGTGGTGGGAGGAGTGGAGGAGGTTAGTTGTTGGGTGAGGTCGGGTGTTAGGTGAAGTTGGGGTAGGCTTCCCTGAAGAGGAGGGTTTTCAGGGTGCGCCTGAAGGTGAGGAGGGTAGGTGACAGTCTGATGGATTGGGATAGGGAGTTCCAGAGGATGGGGGAAGTCCTGCAATCGGGCGTGGGAGGAGGAGACCAGGGAGCTAGAGAGTAGGAGGTCCTGTGAGGAGCGGAGGGCACGGGTAGGGTAGTATTTGGGTATCAGGTCAGTTATGTAGTTCGGGGCGGCATTGTGAATGGCTTTGTAGGTCAGGGTTAGCAGTTTGAATTTGATGCGTTGGGCAATCAGGAGCCAATGAAGGGATTGGCAGAGGGGGGAGGCAGATGTGGAGCGCTTGGTGAGGTGGATGAGTCTGGCCGCTGAGTGTAGGATCGACTGGAGTGGGGAAAGCATTCATTTGGGTAGGCCAGTGAGAAGGGAGTTGCAGCAGTCCAGGCGTGAGATGATGAGGGATGTACGAGTTGTTTGGTGGTGTCTGGGGTGAGGAATGTGCGTACCTTGGAGATGTTGCGGAGGTGGAGCCTGCAAGATCTAGATAGCAGTTGGATGTGGGGTAGGAAGGAGAGGTGGGAGTCCAGGGTGACACCCAGGACTTTGGCGTGTGGGGTGGGAGAGATGGTGGCGTTGTTAGTAGTGATGGAGAGGATGGGGGGGGGCACAGGGTGGGGGGAAGACCAGGAGCTCGGTTTTGGATAGGTTAAGTTTGAGGAAATGGAGCGACATCCAGTCTGATATGTCGTTTAGGAGGTGGGCGATGCGGGCAGAGAGTGAGGGGGTGAGGTTGGGGGTGGAGAGGTAAATTTGGGTGTCGTCGGCATAGAGGTGGTAATTGAAGCTGTGGGAGTGAATAAGTTTGCCAAGGGAGGAGGTATAGATGGACAAGAGGAGGGGCCCGAGGACAGAGCCTTGGGGGACCCGACAGAGAGGGGGAGGGAGGGGGAGGTGGCAGTGTTGTAGGTGACGCTGAAGGAGCGTTGGGAAAGGTAGGAGGAGAACCAGGACAGAGCAGCGTCCTTGATGCCAAGGGAGTACATATGATTGAATACAGAAAACAGCAGAGCTTTCCCTCATTTCAGAGCTTCCCCCCAGATCTAGAGCAACTGCACCTATAGTACATTTGCAGTGCACAGACTTTTTGCCTTTAGTAACTCTCGGTTCACATTACTGTGACCTGTAAGTCGCGTGACTTTTCCAGACAATTTCCTGGCAACTTGAGTACTATTTTGATGTGACTTTGAAGCAACTTTCAAGGAATGCCTGGGTAATCTTCCTGTAATGTCGTATCCAAAGCACATCAATATAGATGAGGATTTGACTTGGAGGCAACCTGTAATAAAGTCTATGGGCAGATAGAAGTCACCTTGAAGTAGTACAGGAACCTTTTCTAAAGTTGGAGCAACTTCTAAGTAAGACAGCTCTCATTGACTAACATGGGATTTCACACGTCATGCGACTTGGGGTCTCACAAGTCGGATCCCAAGTCGTGTCAGTCTGAACCGTGCCTATATATACCCCATAATGCCTTAGCAAACTAAAGATCATTCAGTTCAAGGAGAAGTATGACCAATATTTTTTTGGCCATGCTGCTCCTGTAGGTCACAGGTGTGCACTCAACTCTGCACTCCTGTGACCCAGAATCAGCCGAAAGCAGGCTAAAGTCTACTGTTACCTGACATGACACAGTCTGTCCAGGCTCTGCAGAGATCCCTACAATAATGTCGGGATACACCCAGATGCCTGACTGGCAGCTGACCCATCCTCGCAGCATGCCGCTAAAAGGCTGAGCCAGCCGTTCCCATCCCCTCCACAGTGCAGTGCTCCAGGGGCAGTCACCACTTTGTTCAAGCGGTCCAGACAACAGAGCGATCAGCAGCCTTTGGTTGCTCAGTTCTCGGTGTATAGCAGACGGGGGGGGGGGGGGGGGGGCAGATGCAGATGCAGCATTGAATTTTTTTCAAATCCCACACTTCTCTTTTAAGGTTTGTATCTACTTTTAAACACATATGGGTGCTTATAGATTCTCTTGACTTGTATCTATTTTGTTGCAGCGTTCATGAACACGGTGTGCATAGACAGAATCATATGCATGCACACTGCTATCGTCTAAGAACAAATATTTATATACTGGGCGAAGCCAGACGTGACCGGACTTATTCCTGGGGAAATGGCTGCTGTCATCCCAGAAAATATAACAATCAAATGATTTTCCCTTTGAGTTGGATCAACTTTCTCATGACATGCAAAACCTAATGATGTCTGATCTAACCAAAATCTGATCAAGAATGATTGTCTTGTGTGGACAGGAATCTTTACAGTGAAGTTAGACAGACAGCTCACAACTTATTCCAGGGTATAATAGAAAGAGATCTGAGAATACAGAAAATAAATAAAATATAACTTATCCTCTCTGTTTCTATCTCTCATTCTATTTTCAGTAGTTTCCCTCCAGAGAACACACAGAAATGAATTTTTAGGTCAGACAGTATCTGTCTGGACTGTTTATCCAAACAAAGCTTACCTGAAGGCAGTTCATCCAGAGGAAATTCAAGTATTTTTGATTTGTAAACAGAGTGTAAGTGGTATTCCTCCTGAAATAAACAAAAACAATTTTTTTTTCTTCCATTAAATTTTTATCATACATCAATCAGTACATATGTATGTAGTGCCATTATTTATTTAGCATACAAAAGGAAAAATTGCCCAAGGGACTTTAGGAGGCACACTGGGTTATAGTTAAAAAGTCACATTCTTTATTGTGATTGTTAGGAAAACAGACATATTAAAATGTTCCAAGGAGTTATTAAACATCAAACAACACATTTGTATAAAGTGTAAATGGGCAGCACAGTGGCTAAATGGTTAGCACTTCCGCCTGGCAGCAACAGGGTTACTGGTTTGAATCCCAACCACGGCACCACCTGCCTGGAGCTTGCATGTTCTCCCTGTGCCTGCGTGGGTTTCCTCTGGGTACTCCGGTTTCCTCCCAAACTCCAAAGACATGCTGGTAGGTTAATTGACTCCTGTCTAAATTGGCCCTAGTATGTGTATGTATAAATGTGAGTTAGGGACTTTAGATTGTAAGCTCCTTGAGGGTTAGGGACTGATGTGAATGTACAATATATGTATGTAAAGCGCACTGCGTAAATTGATGGCGCCTATAGAAGTACCATAAATAAACAAGTAATAATGCTCAATCTGCATGATCCATGAGTTACATAGCGCAAGCTCTGAGCACATCATCTCAATGTGTTTCGTGAAGCAAGGTTTGCTTCTTCAGGAGATCACAAAGCTTGAAGATATGGCATCTGGCAAGTTATTTGAGGAGAGGCCAGGGTGTTATAAAAAACAAATAAATTGAAAAAAATAATAAAATGAGGGAGGAAAAAACTCACCACTGATTTAATCCATATCACATAATTTAGAAAACATATGTAAGGGCTGGCAAGCCACCCCATCAAGGCAGAAAATGACTGGATCCACCACCAGCATACAACCATCTTGGCCAGGAGCTGTGACAAGAAGCAGACTGGCCCACTGGGGGAATACAGCAGGGGGCACTGATAAAGCCCAAAAAAGAAAGAAGAGAAAAGAAATACAAGACTCAATCACATAGATAAAGAAAACAATATATGCCAGGGACCCCAGTATTGGTTGAAATAAAAGTGAAACCCATAGAACATTGCATCAATGAAAACCAGTAGTTTAAACACAGGGTAACATGTATATAATGACAGAGTAATCCTGGTAATGCTACATTATACACTCTGTCATTATATACATGCTACCCTGTGTTTAAACTACTGGTTTTCATTGACGCAATGTTCTATGGGTTTCACTTTTATTTCAACCAATATTGGGGTATATATATATATATATATTTTTTTTTTTTTTCTTTATCTGTATGACCATTTGGGTCTTGTATTTCTTTTTTCTTGTTTCTTTTTTGGTTTTCCCCATATATTTTCTTTTCTATTTGTAGTACCATCCCACTGATGGTCTGCCCCCTGCTGTATTCCCCCAGTGGGGGAATTCCCATCACAGCTCCTGGCCAAGACGGTTGTTTGCCGGCGGTGGACCCTCCATATGTTTTCTAAATGATGTGATATGGATTAAACCGGTGGTGATTTTTTTTCATTCTTTTTTTTTTTTTTTTTTTTTTTTAACAATAACGATGAAGAATGTGACTTTTTAACTTTAACCCAGTGTGCCTTGTAAAGTCCCTTGGGCAATTTTCCCTTTGGTATACTATTGTATTGGGGGCTGAGCCACACTCATCCTCACTCATCACGACTTTTCATCTTGCATTATTTATTTATTTTTATTTAGCTTTGAAAGGAGCAGGGATGGGTTAGAACCCTTGCCATGTTTTCATTGCTGTCTGCGCCCCTTCTCAGAAAATTCTCCCTCTTTATTTTCCAGGTGGCTATTTTCACTAAGAAAGAGAGAAATGGGAAATCCTACGTTTAGAGTTGTCACCAGAGGTGTAGGTACTTT